GTTCGGGGATCAATCCCATAGTTCTTAATGCATTGCTCGATACAGCTGCTGAGAGTCGTTTATCAGCACGAAGGCAGTGCGCAAATTTGGTCTGTTGGTCACGGATGCAGAAGTTCGTAAACGAGTTATTATGGCCGACGGGACGAGTAGATTGTCTGATATGGTTTTCCAGACAAAATTGGGCGTAGGCTCCAGTTTCAAGAGTAGTGGGTCGTTCTACATGCTTGACTTGCCGCATGCGGACATGATCCTCTCATGGGAATGGATGCGTACGAACAAGATCGTGATTGATGCGGGTCATCCCAGAGTCTTTGCCAAGTGGCGCAGCAAGATGGTCGAGCTTCCGTTACTTATTTGCCCGACAAACAAGCAATTCGGGGCTGCGGACGCCTCGCTGTGTCAGGTACTTTCTTACACTGAGGCAGTGAGAGACCTCAAGCAGAACGATTCGGAATGGTACGTGGTACATTTGTGCAACCTGTTGGAGATGGCTCAGCCGACAGATGGTGCCACGAGTCTCGAGCAGAAGGCTGCCGAGACGATCATGGAAGATTATTCGGATGTCATTCGTGACGACATTCCCAGTGACGTTGTTCTTGACCGGTCCTTCAAGGCGACGATTCGACTCAAGGATAACGTTGAGGCGGTGCAAAAGAAACCTTACCCTGTGCCACTCGCGTTGGAGGAGGAGTTGAAAGCGAATCTTGCCTTCTTGTTGGAGCGTGGGATCATTGAGCCTTCGACGTCTGAGTTTACGTCTCCCGTAATCTTCACAAAAAAGTCTGATGGTACATTGCGTTTTTGCACTGATATGAGGTTCGTTAACAGCTTGATCCGGAATGATAACTTTCCATTGCCGTTGGTGATGGAGCTGATAGAACGAGTGGGTCGAAAGATCATGGAAGAGAGAGCGCGTTATGCTTCAGAACCTGGGGCACGGTTGTGGATCAGCTCACTCGACCTAGCGAAAAGTTTTTGGCAACTTGAGTTGGACGCCGCGTCGAGGAAGTACACCTGTTTCATCACGAAGTTTGGGAAATATCAGTATCGGAGGATTCCTTTCGGCTTGGTAGATTCGGCAAATCAATTTCAGAAATTTCTCGAGAGTGTTCTTCAAGGTCTCGAGAATTGCCTGAGCTATATCGACGATGTTTGCTTGATCAGTTATGGGAGCTTGGAGAGACATGAGCGTTTGCTTCGACAGGCTCTGGATCGCTTTCGCAAAGAGCAGTTGTTTGTCAAGAAGTCGAAATGTAAGCTGTTTCACTCTGAAATTGATTTCCTCGGTTTCCACATCAGCGAGGCAGGCGTCTCGACACAAGAGAAAAAGGTACAAGCGATTGTGGATCGTACGGCACCTCAGACAGTGAAGGAACTCAAGTCGTTTTTGGGAGTGTTGAACTTTTACAGGAAGTATGTGCCGGATTACGCAGCGTTAGCACTTCCGGTCTGAGGACCAAATGCCGCCCGAAATATCGTAAAAAA